TCTTGATTGCTCAGAAGGATTCAAGGGCTCTTGTGGACGGCAAGATCCGAACTCTTGTGGACTTGTTTGACCATGAAGCCATGATGAGTGTTATTACTGTATATGTCTTATTAAACATATACAATATTTGCATGTTTGTGTCTCTTGTTGATGATGATGATGTCTCTTCTTGATTGCTCAGAAGGATTCAAGGGCTCTTGTGGACGGCAAGATCCAAACTCTTGTGGACTTGTTTGAATTTAGGGGCAGTCACATATATGTGTAGCACCTAATTCCTATGTATTTGCAAGCCTAAACTTCACTTTTCTTAGATTGGCAGCATCCAAATCTTGCATATGACATCAAAACATCACTATTTTGACTTTAATAAAAGGTGAAATACACATTCTCGTCTAAAGATAAGGTGGTATATATACATGTAGAGAAAAGAAGTTTAGGTATAGATTGTAAATACATAGAAATTGAGTGGCATCTGTGTAAATCTTCCCAAAATTTAAGTCAATAATCATAAAAGAAGCAGGGAGAGTAAAATACAATTACATAGAAAGTCAAGACAAAAAAATACTACATGAATCAGATGCAAATTGAGTGCAAATCTGACGATATTTAAAGATTAGCGTGGGATTTGCGTCTGACTTTCATTTGATTTTTTTTCTGAAATTAAATTGAGGGGGTAATATTATTTCCATCTAATTTATGTTGAAATATTCCAACGCAAATAATTTGTGTTGGTTTTTTTTGTCGTACTATCGTGTTTATATGTAATGTACTATGAAATTTGTGTCTGAAAATATATAACGATGAATCTTAACGTCGGATTACCATCTCATTTGTGTCAGAAGATATTGTAGAATGATGAAAAATTATTGTAGATGTAGCATCAGATTGTGACCCGAAAACGAACGCAAATCCGATGCAAACCTGTAACATAAAAAAAATTAGAATATCAATTATATTTTCACAACTTGCATAAAAACACATTTCACATCACTAATTGCATTAAGCATAGTCATATCACATATCAAATCTCTAAATAATTTCATTAATAAAATAAAAAATACTGTCACAAACTGTCTCAAATAAAAATAGTAAGGTTAATGCAAAAAAAATTATAATAAATGTTTAACATAATGCTTACAAATAAAGAAAAATATAAGAAAAAACTACCCACCATCTTCAGCCTCCTTCTTCTGCTGCTACAGCACGGATGTCATCTGTTGCTTGCCCCAGCTATTTGCTAAGGTATCCGCTATGAGCGCTATAGAATCCTCTACTCTATGTTGATCTTGTAGCATCTGTTCGTGCAACTGAAAGATCTGTTCATTTATGGAAGCCACCTGCCTGGCAAGGGCCTCCTGGTTTAATTGTGAGGAGCTCAAGGAACTAAAAACGGGACCATGGGAGAGCTCGGCCTCGAAGGCTATTCTTTTCGCTACAAATCCTTAAACCCTCCCCTTCTTACTCTAACTCTCTGTTGTCTAGGTATAAAGCTCACACTCGGACTACACAGTGGTCGACTGACTACCATTATTACTAGGATCAGTCTGGGATTGAGTGGCCAAGTGCCTCTCCCGGAGCTGCTCGAACTCCTGAATAATGAAAACCAACATTTAATTGACACTTTCAACAGTTAGTCAAATTAAACTTTTAATTTAAGATTTTTAATTTATAGCAACCAGTCGGGAATGTTCTGAGACCCACCGCATAGTCTCTGGGTGTCAATGAATTCAGGCACTCAGTTTCGCCAAGGAGTGAGCACGGCTCAACTTCTTGGCATATATAGCCTACAAAAATAGTTGGCACTAAAAAATTACTCCAAAAATTAAGTTAATGTTTAAATATCTAAATAAAATTTACCATCCTCCTATAGTGCTCTGTATGAGTACTGATCTGCCAATATATATATATATATATATATATATAGATATATATATTAACTAAATGGGCCAAAACATAAATTTAAGATTCATGGCAGGAGCTGCTTTAGGACTAGGTCAAACCGAAGTCGGGAGATCGCCCTATATAGTTAACAATTAGGTGTTATATTTCTAATTTTCCACAAACTTTTTTATAAATTTACATCAAAATGATCAAATTTTTTCATAAAATTAACGATATATAATACTACAATCAGTCAATGTTGAATAAACTGAGCACAAAGTATACTTAATTCGCCATCATGTGAGTTGCTGGCCTGCTGTCTGTCCGCAGGTAACATGCATTAAGAACCTCTTAAAGCCATTGTTATCTCCATTAAACTAAAGTTAGAAGCAGAGCATCCTATGCCTTTAAAGTCATGGCCTGTAGCGTCTTAATTTGTCTTTAAACGGTCAAATATATCTCCTCAGAAGCGCCGAAAGATGGCATCATGGAATTCTATTGAATATTTTTTTTTTATTTTGGAGCTGGAGGCAGAGGAATGGTGTTCAGCAAAAAGGAATCATTTTTTTAAATTAAATACAGTGATGTGGTTGTCATGCATCTTGTCTCTATGGATTTGATTTTCAAGGAGAAGAGGTGGGAAGAAGAAAGTAGTGGTAGTGGGGTTTAGCCATGTGATTTGATTATGTTACCGGATATGCACGAGGACTATATTTAAAAGAAGAAGATATTGAGTTTGATTTCTCTTGCATGGGTGTTGACTATGGAGTTGAAGCTCTAATTATGAAATGATAAATGTTTGGGGGGACCCAACTTGGGAGAGAATAGAGCAGCGAAGAACAAAATGATATTTCAAGAGGGGCAAAAGACTAATTGACATTTCATATAAGTAAAAATCTGAAATCTTCAAGATCAATAACATACTGATCTATGAGAAATTGATATGTTACAATCCGACATCAATACCACGTGAAGTCGCCATAAAATAAGATTGTGAATTCCTTCGTGACCAGTCCACACTCAATAAATATGGCATCCTGCTTACTCATCAATTGTTATTATTATTAAATCGTTTCATTTGTGTAATCATTATTCCAAGCTATATAACATTGTAATCTTTTAATGATTGAATGTGTCACTTACTCATCCTTTCTCATCAATTGTTATTATTATTAAATCGTTTCATTTTGTGTAATCATTATTCCATGCTATATGACAAGCTATTGAGTTGTGAGGCACGCTGTTGGGGATGTATAATGAATACAAATCAAGCTATATGGTAAGGTGTAACCCATCAAAATCAGCTTATTTTTATCAATAAGTTCAATCTAATGGACATTGATAAATCTCAGTCCAAACTTAAGAAAGGCAATGACATTTTAGAATTGTGAGGAGTCATAACTTAGGGTGTGAGTACATCCTAAATATACTCTAAAGTACATTCAATTCGTACCAATCTACACTTACCTTGTTACAATAACTCACAATTATTGGACTAAGTCAAGGGGCATACTTGTAATTCTATCAAAGCTGTTAAAGAATTATAGAAGTTTCCAATTGATGAATCGGGTCTTGGAAGTGATTCGATAGAGAGATCATGACAAAAAGAGAGCTTATTTCTTAATATATAAGCTATGTGAATCTTATTTACTGTCTTAGCGGATTTGATTGTTGATTTCCCTCTCTTGGATGTAGGTCCTATGAACTGAACCATGTAGTTCTCTTGATGTTCTTAGTTACATTATGGTTTTCTTGTTCTGTGTTCTTTAAGCTAGCATCCGGGTTGCTCGTGGTGAGTATCTATTGCAGGGGAATTGGTAGTTCCATCCTTCGGCCTGCAGGTATTAGGCGGACTTATTTTCTAAAACATACCTAATTCACATGTAATAGTTTTTTCCTACTTCATGCCCATCATCATTTCATTCTTAATATTGGAACTTTTTAATGGGTTACATAGTGTTTGGAAAGTTTTACACATCACTCAATCCATATATATTACACATCTAAATACATATTACCTTACCTATGCATGAAGAGATATATCTTACTTTTTAAAAGTCAAAATGAAGATATTTTGGTGTGATTTGAAAGATTTGAGGGCTATAATTGTAAAAAGTTAAATTAGATGCACATATTTAAAGATCAAAGCACCAAAGTAGTCCCGACCATTCACATTTGACGCTTTTAGTCCCATAGCTTTAAGAAGTGCCAAAATAATCTCAATTATTCTAAATTTGAGCAGTCCCGGGACTATTTCAGCCTCAATTTAACCAAATTGGAAATTATTTGAATGACACTTCTATAATTACTGGGATTATTTGAACACTTTACTTGAAATTTACTTACATAGGAATTGGGTGGTATATATGTAAATGCCCAACAATCATGTTTTGCAAGACACGCCTTCCCGAAGTGCACGTGTTCAGCAACAATTTCGGCTTTGCCTACAACTGCGTCCGGAGGTACAGGCCCCGCTGAATACAGTATAATTTTTCTACTTTTATCAGAGAGCCAGTAGAGTTAATAATGTTTTGTAATTAATTGATGTCGTAAGGAGATAATTTATTAATGAAATGATGAGCATCAAGGTTGAATTTAAGAGAAATAAATAGATTAGCGGAAAGATAATTAATTAAAGCTCTTAATCACCCTGCCACGTGGTGAATAATCAATACTCAAATCAACATGTCATACATGAAAATGATAGGACTAATCTCAAAATTAATTTATTTTGGCTAAGATAATACTAAATAGAGCTTCTCATGTCACATACATGAAAATGATAGGACTAATCTCAAAATTAATGTCACTCATACCTGTCCAATCAATTCTCATAATTAAAATAAAAAAATCTATCTCATTTCTTTTTGCTCTTAAAATATGCAAGGATGAAGATTCATAAAGATGATGGAAATATGATAAGATTATGATAAAATATTACCCCCCATCCATCAATCTTATCTCATCAAGCCTTTTTGCATAATACTTAAAAGCTAAGAAATAAAACATGCATGCGTATGATTCTTCTTCCTCAGAACATACCCATCATGCAACACACATTTCTAACAGCAAGCTGGCATGAAAGAAACCAAAAGAGGAAAAAGAGAAAAGAACAAAAGTTTCAGAAGGCTAATGACATTATAGAATCATGTCAGTTCAGTAAAGAAAAGAAAAACCCCCACAAAGAAAAAGAGCTCGGGATCTCTCTCTCTCTCTCTAGACTGTTAGTTCACATCAATACCATCTCACTCTCTCTTCGTTCCCTTGTCTTTCTATGGCTGCTCCTCATCATTCCATCCCATATATAGGAGTCTGAAACACACAAACATTTGGCTTTGCAGGCTGGTAGTAATAGTGCGAAGAACTTGGCGCAAAACTCGAGCCTTCAAAACTCCCTCCAAATACTGAGCTATTACTCTGCTGATTGTACTGGTTGTGGAGGGCGAGGAGTGACCAGTAGTCGCCGTCCAGATGTTGATGGGGGTGGTCTTGGACGGCCATGATTGTGTCGGAGGAGGAAGAAGGGGGAGTGGTGTTGGTGTCGGAGGCTTTGAAGGATCGAGCGGGCATGCTGCCGATGGGGAGGTCGGTGTGGGTTATGGTGTTAACGTTGTAGCGACTCATGTCGAAGTTGGTGACGGCGTTTAGTCCACGGAATTTTATCGCCGCTATATCATAAGCCTCGGCAGCTTCCTCTTGTGTGCCTATATTTGGTGGGCACCATCACATTCATGCATCAAAAACACCAAAATGTTCTATGTATGGGTACATTAAAAAAATAAGTAAATTAATACATGTGTACATAGATATGATAATTTGTCATGCAGAGAAAATATCACGTGTGGACAACAGAAGTGTGGACAGGGCATGGATAGCACCATGTCATCGAATGTGCAGCATAACATAGTGTGATCCACACATTTAACTAGATATAACATTTTCTCATATGTATAAAATTTCATTAGAGCCAATTTCGTTTGTTTTAAGTGCCATGTAAAAATATGATAAAAGATCATGGGAGTGTTGAGTGTATTAATATTTAATAAGAAAACATTACTCAAGCACAATAACTAATGCAGCAAAAAATTGCATAAATAGCTTGTCATACCACCCAATTAACATGTTCTAATGAGGCATTTTATTTTTTTGGAGCATTTGCATACATATCACCCAATTTCAATGTATTTAACTAATTACATATTTAGCATCCCAATCTATTCATATAACACATCAAAAACATCACATGAAAACTTTTAAATAGTGAAAAAAACACATTTTCATGCATAGGAAAAGAAAGATATGTAAATATATAGGAATTGAGTGGAATGTACACAAATGTTCCTTTATTTTTTCTTCTTTCATACCTGTTCTTTTTTCATATTATAAAACCACATACATCAGTAAATTCCTGATAAAATTATTAAATTCTTTACAAAAAATAAAAATAAAAATAAGAACTCTGCCCCCCACGTGGGTTGAGCTCAAATTCCTGAAGATTCTCTTAATTTTTCTTATATATGTAATAACAAATAATACATAATAATACATATCTAATTAATATTTACATAGTACTTACTAAAGGTGCCAAGATAGAGGTCCTTGTTGCCTGCAACTCTTCCAATCCTCGCCTGCCACCGTCCATGCTGGTGGTGCCTTATGAAGAAGCCAGCCAATCACCATGTCAGAAATAAGCATAAAAAATCTAACCCCAACCCTAACCCTAACCCTAACCCACAAGCATATAATATGTATATATATATATACCTTGTTACTCCTCTATAAATAGAAGCGCCTCGAGAGAAGCCGCTACTCTTCCTTCAAACAAAGAGAATGGAATCAAGAAACAAAACGTACAAAGAACACAGATAAACATTGTAACAAATCATTCTGATGCAATTTGTATTAATATGTTAAAATAAAATATATATATATATATATATATATATAAAACAACACACAATTCCTATGTATTTATAAATATAACACCTAAACTTTATTATTTTTTACAAATATATCATTTTAACTATGCATGAAAAAGTGTACTTGACTTTTTAATTAATTAGATGCTAAAATGAAGATATTTTTTTATGTGATAAAAATTTTTGGGTGATATAAATGTAAAAAAAATAAAATTTTGAGGTTAGATATGTAAGATATGTAAATATATATATGAATTGGTGTTATGTACCATTTTCCATGATATAATGAAATAGACTAATGTTTTTTTTAAAAGAAACATAATGCATGCATGGCATGAACATTAATCACGTGGGTTTGTCGTCACCTTCGTAGCGAAGCGACGAATTCCTGCCGAGTCATACTCTTCATCTCTTCCAGTTCCTTCTCGTAGTCCGAAACCTATACGAATAGTACAATATTCCGTATATACGTCAAGTTACCGTATTTACGAATCTGCCATTGACCATTTAGTGAGAAGAGAAGACCCACCGGAAAGTTGGTCGTGGTGGTGGGGCCCCAGTACTTGAGAGCTGCCAGGTCATAGGCCCTCCCAGCCTTCTCCTCCCTATCATATCCACCTATTTTCACAATATTCAACTCTTATTTCTCCACGCTCTGATGATTATCAGACGGTACAGAATCAGGGATACAAATTGTCATAGTCGCTTACCTAAATAAACTGTGTCCGAGGGTTGTTCGGGTCATAAACGTGATTTAAGAAAAAAATAAAACACATGTTAGCAAGAAAAAAAAATAAGAAAATAAAAAATTTTATAAAATATTACGTCCAAACATATATATATATATATATATATACACACGCTCAACCACAGGATGTCATAACATCATGCATCTAAATGATTTGCCATGCATAGTGGATAGAACAACCACAGGATGTCATAACATCATGCATCTGAATGATTTGCCATCCATAGTCCATAGAACAACCAATCATGGGACGCCACACCCATCTAAATTGGAGATGACCTGACATCCTGTTTTTTACTATATGGACATCTATTTTCTCGTACATTAAAAAAAAAAGAAAATATTGCGTACGGAACATGTATATATACGACTTTAGAGTATGACATTATTATACAAAATGTGTATTATAACACATAACATAGTTGTACATGCAATCCGAACTCGCAGGTAATAATCTTGTCAGAGATGGTGTAGACTACGTACCTTGTCTACCCTTCCGGCTTTGGCCTTCCCGGCGGCAGCTATTGTCCCAAAGATGTGCTTCATACCTCCCCGTCCACCGATGCCTTAAATTCCCAAAATACCCTATCAGAACCTATATTCTTTCAAAAAAAAGTTCTAAATTTTATTTATTTAAAAAAAATAAAAATTAAAAAGGAGTTATATTTATTACCCCAGATGACATTTTACAAAATCTATATTTCTTGCATTCGTAAAATAAAACATTCAAGATATCATAAAATACAGATGATTAAATGTCAATCTTTCATATATTTTTATAATAAAATATTGTGATTATTTTTAAATAAATCTATGATAAAAAAATATATATTTTTTCTGCCAAATTTCAAAATTTATTTTCACCAAAAAATTATATATTCGTACCCTTTTTTCTAAGAAAATAAGTAATTAATTAAAAATATAAAGCGAAGTTACAGTCTTCTCCTTTTCCAAAATCTTAATTTACATTCGGAACAACTTTATTTATTTATTTATATATTTACCTTGTGACGCCGCGGTAAATAGAAGTCCGGTGGCCGAACTTATCGACGGCCTTCTTAGACTCCGCCACGGTCGCCGAGATTTCCATCATCTGCTGCTCCGGCGGCTCCTCCGCCGCCCTTCCAAACACCCCCGCCGCCGTTCCAAACAGAAATCCGGCAGCCACGGCCTTCAAGTCCGACTCAAAGATTACGCCTTTGTTACTTATGTCGGCTCCCCCACTTCCGCCGCCCCCTAAAAAGTCTTCAAGCTTAGGTTCCACGCTTCCGACGCCATCCTCTTCAACTGTTCTTACAAACCCTAGATGACGTAAGAGAGAGAGGGATAAGAAAGAGAGAGGGAGAGTAAAAGTACCGGGGGTAGTGTAGGAGAAAGCTTCGTAGAGGCCGCCAGGGTGGGGAGAAAGAGAGAAGGCGAGCCAGTTTTGAGAGGAGTATTCCATGTCCTTTGGGATCAGGGGTATTCTGGTAAATTACTAGCTTGTTGAGGGTTCGTTCTCTGAGCTTGAGAGAAGAAGGAGAGCAAGGGTGCCGTGGTCTTAGATATAATAGAGAGCTTGAGGTCGATCGAGGGAAGAAGTGAAGTGGGAGAAGGAGCGGGAGGGGGTGGAAAATCTTGTTGTTTGTGGTAAGTATCTTGTTGATGCGACTGATTTTTTTTCTTGTTGGATTGTGTTGAGATTGATGGAGTTAAGATGATGGATGGTGATTGCACGACTTTTGATGCAGAATTGACGGCATGGGTGTGATGTTATGTGTTTCTCATACGTACCATCAGACTGCCCCAAGGTTTGGGAATTAAGAAAAAAGGTGTAAGTCTTGAAAAAAAATTCAGCACGAAAAAAATTATAAAAAAGTTTTGGATCAGGTGAAATAAATGTATTATAAAATTGTATTTCTTAGTTGTTATAATTATGCCAAAATAAATCTGCGTATACCAAAAAAATATACCAACACGAATCTCAAACGAAACTAATGATTAAGATGAAAGGGTCTTCTTTTGAGATAAGCAATCAATCGATGATCCAAGGTCGAGCATGAAACTACATCTTCAAAAATGGGATAGGTTCAAGCTCCAGAGATGGTTCCTCGCTCGGCAGCGGCAAGACCTGCCGCAAGTGAGATGTGAATCAACCCGACAGCGAGTCACATCGGATACCCTGCATTGGCTATGATAAGATTTGTTTAAGACCTTGCAATATTAAGAGATCTAGTCAAGAGACAAATCAACCAGGCAAGCGAGACACGAGCCCTATAAGACTTGAACCAAACAGAAAACGAGCCACAGCTCAATGCGAAAAATTTTGGTCAATTGCATTTGACTGACCAACCTGCATCTGGATCGAATGACCATATCATAATCGACATCTCTGGTTGATCATGTCAAAAGACTTCGAGCAAGATCGCTATACGACCAAACACCTCGACGGACCAGCGAATACTTCAAAGTGCACAAATGTCACTCTGCTGGTGATCCCAATTCTCTTTATATATGTCGAATGCGATGTATGCGATTATATTTTTAATTTCCTTAATTATAATTTTCACTTTGCAACGACGCCAAAAACTTGATCCCGAACAAAAGCTAAGTAAAATTTTGACTTGGAAACAAATATGAATATAATTATAAGTATTTAAATATGGGATACTATGCAAGTATATGTATCATTATTAAGTAATATATGACTCTTTTATTAAGCCCCAGATATCGAACCCATATGAAAAATTACAATATGCACTTTACAAAATAGGAGAAATTAGATAATAAAATTCTACTGAGTAAATTATTCTTATTTAAACTCTAGATGCTATAATATGAATGAAAGTTCGATTTTTTTTGTAATTTTTTAAAATTGAAAATAAAGTAAGCAAATACTTAATTTAACTAGATATTTGCAAGATGAATGTAATATAAATAAAATATCTTTTTTTTTATCATGAATCATTAACAAGTATAAAAACTCTATTATGAAAGTATTATAATTGTGTTGTGTCAAATAGAAACAATAATATTTTTTACCCTTACTAGAGATGCTATAAAACACATAAGACATAGAAACCTAAGGGACGTCATGTGTTCAATCAATTCACAATTTTATTGATAACGATTGCTTATTAATTTTTTCTTATTCTTTTTGTAATTCGCTATCAAGGAGCAGAAAAAATTGAGGAACTAATAGGTTTATACAAAAAATACTAGCACGAATCTCAAAAAGAACGAACGATTAAGAGGAACATGTCTCCTTTCCAAGTAAGCGATCAATTGATGATCCAAGGTTGAGCATGAAACCACGTCTCCAAACCCGATATAGGTAAAACTTCGGAGATGGTTTCCCACTCGGTAGCTGCAAGACTCACCAAAAGCGAGGTGTGAATCATCCCGACAATGAGCTCGTCGGATACCCCGTTTAGGCAGCGACAAGATCAACTTAAGACCTTATAAGATTGGAAGATCCAGCCAATGCGACGAACCAACCAGACATGCGAGACACGAGCCCTATAAGACTCAAGTTGAACAGAAAATGAGCTACGACTCACTATGAAAAAATTCGATCACATTAAACCGACCAATCCCACATCTGGATCAAATGACCACCTCACGACCACTCTGGTGAAGTGTGCTAAAAGGCACCGAGCAAGATTATCATACAGTCGAAACCTCGACTGACCAACACGTACTCTAGAGTGCACATATGCTACTTGGTCGATCGCCACAATCAGTTAACTTCAAACCACCTGACCAGTCAATTCATGTGAATGTTAAAATTCAAATTATAACACAAATATGACATTAAGAACAATTTTCATAACTGTTCTCTTCTTTCTGTAATTGTAAAAAATATGTCTCCATAACTACGGAGCAAAAAATATGGAAAAATAACCTCTCCCCTCGATTCTCCCAACGAAAATCTCAAACTTATTCTAGTATCTCTTCATTCTCTTCTTCACTCGGCTCTCTCGGAGTCAAATCCACAAAGGACAAACTAGGATCCATTACGAAGTATATATTGAATAAATTAAAATCAAGGTGATTTAACTAATATGATATCTATTTTTTTTCTAAAAAAAGTTTATAAATTTGTTTTGAGACAAATGAAAAATAGGATTATCAAAATAAATAAAATCAAATTTGAAATTCATTTAATCTAAACATGATCACAATATTTTTCTTGGGTAGATGAGGTTTGAGCATGATGCCATTCGGTGCGGAAGTAGATATTTGAATTTAGCTCAATGATGATTAATTGCTAGAAAATCAATTTGAATTTTGCCTTGAACCTAAAAAAAAGAGCCGTTATAAGCTGAAACTTTGGATTGAATTTTTTTCGTGCCGATTCCTAGCCATAGATCAACTCAAACTAACTCGAGATTGACCTATTATATTTTTTAATTTCTAAAAAAATTATATATATATGTATATAATGCTAAGTAAAATTGAATATAACAAGTCAACATCCAATTTCAAGCAGATTTCGAGTTGGAACATATCCAAATAACAAAATTTGAGACAATTAGTTTCAATTTTGACCCTAAGTGAGCCGTTTGTGACCTCAAATGAATCGAGCTCAATTCAAATTCTAACCAGTACGGCTCGAAATCGAATACAATCAGTCATGAGCTGATTTCAAGTTGCACCAAATCTATCCAAGCCAATCCCACCACTACGGGTCCATTATCTAATTCAGCAATCACGATAATTTCACCCTTAATATTTTTTCCACGCAGTAATTAGTCTGAGTAATTTAAATAGCTCGCAAAGTAAAATGGCGTCAAAACCTAAATTTTTTTACTTTCTTTAACAAGTAATAGAAAAACGAAGCACGGGGCTGTGGAGGCTTTTTACTGGCCGGCCTGGCGGTTCCCTTGACCGCACGGAAAGCAGCCTACATAACCGCTTCTCCTGTTCCGCCGGAATAGTTTAAAATGTCCAAAGCATCTACGATTGAGTACGTTAAGGCTGAGAGTGTCGCGGGGCAGCAGATTGTTTTGGCGTTGTATTGAAACTGGGAAGCAAGAGGGATGGGAAGGGAACATGTGGACATGGGGCCGACGCCGTATTGTGCTGCCGCCTAGGCTGCCCGAACTTTACAGGACACGTGGCAATCACGCGTTAGCTTTTCTTGATGAAGATCAGAGGGCTAATAGTAAGCTTGCGAGAGCGCAAGTCAGTGGATCCCACGGCCGACAGCCTCTGATCATCATCACGTGTTGAGGGGGGTTTAGATATTCATCGCAAGATTGATATAGACCTCGAGGTGAGAATTTTTTAAATTATTCTTTTTTTACATTTACAAACATACCACCCAATTTCTATGTATTTACATATTTGACATCAACCAGATATTTCATATCCTATAAAAAATATCATCATTTTAATTTTAAAAAAACTGAAATTAACTTTTCATGTATGTAAAAAATAAGAGTTAAGTGTTTGATATGTAAATATATAGGAATTGAGTGGTATATATGTAAATAATTATTTTTTCTGTTGCTTTAGGGTCTCTATAATTGTTTATTTTATGTGGGCTTGGTTTTATGGATACTCTATTTTTAAGTATTTTTCCTATAACGTGGACCAATTCATTTTATGTGAAGCCAAGGGCGTACCAGTGGCCCACGGAATTATGCTTTATCTGGGTCGGTGCGATGGATTGGGCTTCATTGACCGTCCGTCCGATCGAAGGGCCTACGCCATGGACTTGCGACACGCCCGCATGCCCTGCATCGCATTTATTAACATAAGATTAGAATAAATATTTATTTTTACAGGGAGCTCCAAAATAATAGTTTTTACATGTAAATACCTTAAAAAATTAAAATTATAAGTGAACGTATTTTGTTACAGTGGCAGCGGTTAGCTACGTCCTCCCCTCTCCCAATTTCGCCCAAATCTCCCTTATCTGCCCAACGCGGTACAGTCATCATTAGAGAATTGGGAAGTGAACTGACACGATCACGACTTACAGAGACCACCGACAGAATCGTGACTTATAGAGACCAGCAGAACTCCCTCCTTTCACATCCTTTGCTCGGCTCTTACTAGAAATTATTGAGGAAGGTAAGCCTCTTCGGATCATTCTTCCTCTTTGCTCATAGGATGCAGGCAATCGCGACTTACAGAGATCACCGAAACTCCCATCTTTCTCGTCCTTCCACTCACCTACCATAAAACATTGAGATAGTATTAGCAGACCTTCACTTGTAATTTTAATTTTTAGGAGCCTTTACATGTAATAACTATTGTTTAAAGACCTTCATATATAAAAACTCCTTTTTTTTATCGGCTTAACTAGACCAGATTAATTAAGTTTGGCTGCACGTAGACTATATCAACAATGGCACGAAAAGGGTTGATGTGAGATCGCACGTGCGGCCGATGGATGCAAGGATAGAGAAGGCAATATTTTCCTTAGGATTAGTAAATAATTAAAAATTGATTAAAATTTATTAGTTAATGTAGAAATCACTTTTTTTATATTTTTTAATATATAGAACAAATAATAATATTATTATTTATAATAGTATTTAATATATTATATAATAATAATAATATTATTATTATATATAAAAAATTAAAAAAGAAAATAATAAGAAAATAGAAAATAAAAAAACGGTACTCCCCAATAATATTGTTTGATTCGATTTTATCTTAAAATTACATTTTGGTTTTCGGATTTTAAACCCTCAATATTTGGTGTTTGGTTATTGACTCAATTATGTATTTTATTTAACCGAACGAAATGAAAAAATAAAAATTTGAAATTAAATGAAAGTTTCATGAAGTTAAATTAATATCATATATATGTAATTATTGATATTTATTCATACCCCAACTCTCACTAATACCTAAATTACAATAGATTTGATGAATTTGAAAACAAATACATTCATATCAACCGAATGCTCACCCCTATCTCAAGACTAACATATAGATAGGGGGTCAGGGTTAGCACTCAAGCCATATATTCTTCATCATCTTAAAGTAAGGCTTTCTGGAAGGAGAGCACGAGGAGCCTGGATGTAGGCTAAACCTGGCTAGACGACAAAATAAAGCCGCCGATTTGATAAATCCATATTTCACAAATTTTGGTCGTAAATCCCGAATTTACTAAATCCCACAAATCGGTGGATTTACAGGATTTAGATGAACAGTTTGTTCTGCTTACTTGCCAAACAGTTATGTTGGATTTACAAGATTTAGTAAATCTATTACCAATTAGTGTTTCGCATTTAAATCATTCAAGATTATTAAGCAAATCCGAGATTTACTAAATCCTAATAACTTAAATATCATTCAGTCCCCAAGGGATGATGGGTGCATGTGATATAGCCGTAATCATTAAGTTTATTGCACATCAAAAAGAAATGATTAAGAACTTGGTACATGAAAGAAATATTAGGACGCTAGCTCGTACAACTGGATTGGTTTAGGAGCTGTGTTGACTACAGGAGCAAGCGAGCCAAACTTCTGCAGACTATTCATAAAATGATTCATGCAAATCATATTCGTTTCAGCTCAATTCAAATTCATTTATTCATTTTTTTTTTTTGAACTCATGTTCAACAATAATTTAATTTAATATTTTTTTAAAAAATACAACATTAGGGCCAAATTAAATTCAAATATTAGGGAGCAATCCTAAAATAAAATAAAAAACTAATTAATTATTCTATTAAAAAATAACATCACATTTTTCTTAAATCATAATAAATTAAATTTATTTTCCAGTTAAAATCATAATTAAACTCTTCATAGAGTGACTTTATTTACACATTACACTCTCAACCAAATTTAATATTCTTCTCTCAACTGCAAAAGATTCAATCTCATTCAAACTATCATACATTCCAAATTGATTTAAAAGAAAAATATAATGATATCTATACATAACACTAATCTTAAAGTATATCTAAGGGCTTAAACTCGAACACAATCAAAATCTTGATCAAGATAACCTCACATGAACCTCTATTTTCTTCAAAATCATTATAGAATTCTAAATTCAAGAAAAAAATAATAATGAAAGCCCAAAATTTAGTCCCACACACTGAATATATATCCTCACATGTAAAAACTTTGATTAAGGACATTGGACCGCTAGAACATTGCCAGGCATGGATCAAAATATAATTCCTTGTTTTTGTCTTTTTTTCTTTTTTGGTTGTCACAAACAAATACATCCAAAGACAAATAACAGACATATGAACAGACTAAAAGGTGTATATAATACAGGGAGGATAATCCTTGTTAAGAGTAAAAATAATCTTTACATAATCTAAATTTAAAGCCATAATTTATCAACTACACAAGGCTCACTCACTAAAGAACCTTCCTTTCAGGATTCCAGAATTATTTTATAAAAAATCTTCGATGAACTTGAGAAGTTTATGAACTTGGGTACCTCACACTCTGCGCGTGCCGTACTTTAAACTCGAGAGAATGATCACCAGACGTCTCGCAGATACCTTCCTTGCATTTGCAGGTTCTTAACCAGGCTTTCGGTTTTGGAGCTATCTAGAGAGCCCTGCAATAGAACAACACCAAGGTGAAAACTTAACCCGACGGCTACAAAATCAGATTGTTAAAAAGAATATTTACATACACCACTAAATTTTTATGTAAATGTATTTACATATATAACACAAAAATTTCAATATATATATATCACCTTGCGTATACATCATCATATGTATTTAAACTTTTTGAAAGTTAAAATTGTGGTATTTTTTATGTGATATGAAAGATTTAGGTGGTTTAAATGTTAAAAAGAAAAAAAGTTTAATTGTTAGATATGTAAATGCATATGAATTGGGTGGGGTGCATGTAAATGCCCCTAAGAATAAAAACCCTGTTATTCAATTTAATCAATAGTTAGGTCCTAAGTGTGCAAGCTCATAAAAAAAATTTGCATCTTATTTTAGCTACAAATAAGAAGTGACTCGTTACCATGAACCTCTTATTGACAGTGGTTTCGGTAAAACATGAACTTATCAGTGAGCTGTTTTCATAGACAAAAGAGCAATGGCTTCAGAGCCCACACTTCAGTGTTCAAATAACAAAAGTATATTTACAAATAATTTTAAAAAGATTACTTTTAAGGAGCCTAAGACTTTTCAAATTATGAAAATAACCCTCATCAAGGGGAGAGGTTTCCACAAGCAGATGCCAAAAAAGATTTGGGACGGTCTTTACCTGTTCCTGGACTATGTTATGTAGAGTGCGGTGGACATCTTTAGCCATGCCTTTGGCATCACCACATACATATATGTAACCCCCTTCAGAGATAATACCCCAAATTTCTGATGCCTGTAAAAAATCAAATAAAGTAATCAGAGAAAAGAACAAGAGATAGATATATATATAGAAAGAGAGAGAGAGAGAGAGTTGAGTTTTATGAGACCTTTTCAACCATTTTATGCTGCACATATTCTTTTGTTGGTCCTTCTCGAGAGAATGCTAGAAGCAGCTCAGAAAGCACTCCAGCTTCAACAAATTTTTTCAGCTCATCTTCATAGATGAAATCCTGCAAATTTGCCAAAACAATTTAAAATTACTTTCTGATTACCACAAGTAAAACAGCAGAAAAAAAAATGAGAACTTTAAAGGATTGGTTTAACACCATTTTACGATTCCTGCATCCAAAGAATAGTTTAGCAGGCCCAAGTACAGCACCGGATTCTTTTAACGCCAACCTCTCCTAAAAATGGCAGCAGAAAATTAATGAAATTATTCTCACAGATGAGTATAATATCAATAAGGAGATTTACATACATACCACACAATTCTTACGTATTTACATATCTAAAATACCACCCAAACCTTTCATATCACATAAAAATACCACCATTTCAGCTTTTAAAAGGTAAAATACACCTTTTCATGCATAGCTAAGGTGGTATATATGTAAAAATGTTAAGTTTAGGTGTTAGATATGTCAATCTTCCTTGAAACTAAAGTTCACAGCAAACCTGTAAGAATCCTCTGAATGGCGCCAACCCGGTTCCAGGTCCAATCATGATAATTGGCACAGAGTTATCTGCTGGCAATTTAAAATTTGATTGCCTCACAAAAATTGGAGCCCAGCTACAATCTTTACTTTCATCCAAAGGAAATGCATTCTGAAAGGAGGAAAATTTCCAAATCAAAGATTCAATTTGAATGTTACTCAAATTATTAAATAATATAGTGACGAGTCCTAGATAATTATAAAAGTAACAAGGAAAGCGTAAGAATCCAATGCCTTTATCTGACAAGAAAGCTGTGAAAGAAGTAAAAATTAAAGCCAAATTACATGGGACGAGAAATACTTTACGACTAGCAAGAGGGATGTAAAATTGTTTCACAAACTCGCCTCTATCATGAAAGACAGATTTAAACATTCATAAATCAGGGATTCGGAAACATTTCAAACTCAAAAGTACCAGTTACTGAGCATTTATGCTTTACTAAATTTGATGATTGTACCTAAAGAAGATTAAAAAAAAATGTTTTGTTGCCTCTACTCGACTAATTAATCAAAGTTCAAGCTCAAGCTCAAGTCGAGGGTGGCTCGAGCTCGACTCAAGTCATGTACACCCCTATATGAGGTGATACACTCAAGCACAAAATTAAGTATTGTTAATTATTGTCAATATAAACCGATAAGTAGAGCAACAAAAAATAATAATAATAATAATAGAAAATAAAAAATCTAAGTTTAAAGTTTTTTGGGAGTTAAGGGCCTAATGGGTCGGGCTCAGATCTAACCCAATATTGACCCAACCAAAACATATTTAATCTGAATCTGACAATTTATCATATGAGTCAAAATATCTTGACCCGAACATACCTAAGAAAAAACTAACCCATTTAAACACATTTATCATATGAAATATACAATTTGTTAATTAACATGATGAAATTAATCAAAACATGATCTATTTAACCGAATGAACCAAACCCAAATTGATCTACCAAAACCCTAATAACAATTGGGTCAATTCCAGGTTAATTTTAGGATATTCAGGCCAACCCAAACCAAACTGATATAAGAAGTTAAAACTCAAAATCAGATTTTTTAAGAGGTTTAGGTGAGATGGAATAATTGAGTAGTTTTTTACAGCCATAGGTTTCAATTCAAGCATTTCATTTAAACTATAGTTTAATAGCACTGCTTAAATTGAAATTGTATCATATTTACAATTTGTGTTGGTTTCTTGAAATGAGAAAGAGAAGAAAAACTAAAATTTCTTACTGTAGATTGAAGGGAAATCAGAACCACACCCTTTATGTAGCCTTATAATATTTTAATAATAACAAACTTCCAAGAAAAGACCTAAAAATCAGTCAAGAAAGTAACAAGAAACAAAATTCAAGAAAAAATAACAACTCACTACTAAAATTAAGGAACAAACTAAATTCAAATAAACCTAGACTCAATAAGCAGTCCTAAGCATGTATTCCAACACTCCTTGCTTTAGGATCTGCGAACACCAAGTTTCTGCCTTAGAAATTCAAACTTGCTGATTGAAAGTAACTTTGTAAGCAAATCCGCCAACTGATCTTCAGATTTGCAGTGAACCAGAGTCACAAATTCTTCTTTCTGCACTTCCCTTAGAAAAAAATAACTTGATGTTGAAACGTTTAGTGTTCCCATGAAACACAGGATTATGAGAAATGACAATGGTACGAATATCGAAACCATTGATAGTCAATTGCATGTTGTCACCAGAAACCCGAATGAGTTTTGAATCACTTAAGCAAGCTTTATCGACATCGTCTTCCGAGTCCGCATGTTTCGTCATTGACACCGTTTTGATGAAGCCTGAGCTTGACTCGGGTTTCTCTTCCAATACTAGTTTTGTGAAACTTTGTTGCCTTTGATCTAAATATTGCAAAGCAGTCACAAATGTTAACAGAACCTCTTTTACTTTTGCAGCGAACAATGTTTTTCAGTGACATCTTTTAATCGAGCTTCCACATCTGCCTATGAAACCCTGGTCCTTCAATTCAAACTACAACCGCTTCTAATAAAACACCATGTTCTCTAGCTTTTGTGAGCTTAGAATGCCAAAAATGTGCCTCTTGAAGAGCAGAGTCTCTCTTCTTGAACAGGATCTCTCTATCTCTGCTAGATGTTGCAACCTTTTCTTCTGATACTTTTAATTTAAGAATGGTTTCTTGAAGTTTTTTATTTGAATCATTGGTCAGTCGTTCAATTTCTGTGTAAGCAAGCCTCCTCTCTTCATCCATAGCAAGAGCTGCAGATGCAGCTACTTCAGCAGCCTGAGCTGTCTTGGTTAACTTGTCTGGTCACTCACATATGGTTGAATCTCTTGCACGTAACTCTTTGGCCAATTGTTGAAGTTCTTCATCTTTAACTTGAAGTGTTTCCTTCATTATCGTAAAATCATCTAAATGGCCTTCATTACCCTCATTAATCAATGAAACTTCTAGTGAGTGGGCATGTTTTACAGAACTTTCATTGGGAAAAGAGCCAAAAGCCTCCTGCTTCTGCATTGGATTGAGTGAAAAACTCTTCCCTGTCATCTTAACTTCAAACATTTTTTCGTCTGTAGCATTCGCTATCACACAAGCCTTCTCCATAAACATCAATTTGAATCCCATTTCTATTAATTGACCAACACTGAGCAAGTTTTGGTCAATATCTGGTACATAGAGAACATCGGTGATCAACTTAGTTCCTGAACAGCTTGCAATGACTACGGAACCCTTTCCTTTGACTGTAATATATTCATCATTCCCAATTCTGACCTTCTTGGACTCGGTGCTCTTCAATTCATTGAACAACTCCTTATCATGGGTCATATGATTAGTGCAACCACAATCAATGAGCCAATTTTCACTAGTTTCAGAACTCGTGAAACAAGTTGCAACGAAAAAGATAGTCATCTTCTTCTTGATCTGCCACTTGTGATTCATCTCCTTGTTGCTGATCTTTATTCTTGCAAATGACAGCTTCATGTCCCATTTGATTGCACTTGCTGCACTTTGCATATGGTCTTTTCCAGCATTTGAAAGGAGGATGACATTTCTTGCCACAATGTCGACATGGAGGGTAATCTTTATTTTGTCCACTTGTAGCTTGAAACTTTTTGTTCTTGGGCCACCTATTCTTTTCATCATCTTGATGCTTGACTAGTAGAGCTCCTTCGACGGCTCCTTCTTGCCTCATTACACGCCTCTGTTCTTGTGTTTGTAAAGCACTTAAGAGTTATGTCAAAACAATCTTTGACAGATTCTTCGTGTTTTCTAAGGTGGTGATGATAGCCTCAAATCTTTCAGGTACTGTTACAAGGATTTTTCGAACAATTTTTGAATCTTCCAAAGAAGAACCCAATAATTTGACACGATTTGCTATGTTGAGCAGTCTGTCAGAGTACTCCTTTATGGTTTTTGTCTCCTTCATCTTTTGTAATTCAAAGTCACGAACCAAGTTTAGCACCTACATTCCTCGAATTCTTTCATCTCCTTCATACTTGGATTTGAGATAATCTCAAATCCATTTTGTCGTTTTCAAGGACATGATACGAGTGAAGATCGTAGAGGGAACTGCAGCAAACAGGCAAGCTTTTGCCTTGGACTTCTTTGCCTTCTTCTCCTTTTGTGCTTTAATTTGTGTTAAGGTGAGATTTTCAGGGAGAAGAGGAATGTTATAGTCTTCTTCCACTGCTTCCCAGAGATCCAAAGCTTCTAGGTACGTCTCCATGCGGACTGCCCAGATCTGGTAGTTGTCTCCGTCAAACACTGGTGGAACTACTAAGGAAAAACTGGCTTCGATCTCCATTGCCACTCAAACTCACGCACAGATCCCTTAAGAAAAGAGCTCTGATACCAATTTGTATGTTTCTTGAAATGAGAAAGAGGAGAAAAACTAAAATTTCTTGTTGTAGATTGAAGAGAAATCAGAACCACACATTTTGTGTAGCCTTACAATATTTTAAACTTGGAGTTAATAACAAACTTCCAAGAAAATACCTAAAAATTAGCCAAGAAAGAAACAAGAAACAAAATTCAAGAAAAAAATAGCAATTCCTAAGATTAAGGAACAAACTGAATTCAAATAAACCTAGATTCAATGAGCAGTCCTAAGCATGTAGTCCAACAATTTGTATAACTTTAGATTAACATTTCAATGTGATGTTAAGTTGTAAACTTTATTTCTTTAAATTGAGTATTCATGGTTTATTAGAATAAAAGACTAATGTGAAAGGAGTGGGAACAAGAAGCAAAATAATATAATTATTATTGATATTAGAAAGAGAGTTACAAGTCAGGTACAAATCTTCTTTTTCTCTCTCCCTCAGTGACCCAGTCCTATATATAAATGGGTAAAGGGTGGTAAATAGGTAATATAACATGATAAGAGGTAATAATATTGTATATGGTTTGTATGCAAATGCTGTTGAATGATGAATTAAGATTATATCTTCTATCATTCTTCTTTTTCTCTCTCCCTCGTGAAGCACTCTCCTAACATCAAACTCATCCCTCTTGCTACTCTACATCATAAGAATGTTGAGTAGTACTTTATATTGAGTTCATGCTACCACTTCGATCAGAGATTGAATGCCAGGATATCATATCTTTTACTCCACTTCAAGAACTATTCTGGTTGTTTGCACTTATCTTGCTCAACTACTACTACCTATGGCTTCGTTCATATATAAATCCATCAGCTTAAAAGATGCCCAAAAGAGTGCATACATGAACTAGTTCTGACATCATATCTTTTACTCCACTTCAAGAACTATTCCAGTTGTTTGCACTTAGTTTGCTCTACTACTACTACCTATGGCTTCGTTCATATATAAATCCATGATCTTAAAAGATGCCCAAAAGGGTGCATACATGAACTAGTTCTGACATCATAGCCACTAGACTTTAAAGAATAAACTTTCTATACAAACCATTCATGGATAGAGAAATTAATGAAGCACACTCAATAAATTTAAATATATTCCAGGCATTTCATTTACACTAGAATTCTTGGTGTTACTTTAATTGAAACTATAGGTGTAAATATTGAAGCAAACACCCAAAACCCAAACCAAAAATGGAAATTTATAGTTCATGTTAGCCCGTCTAAGGTTTAAGTTCAGATTTAAGTAATCACAAG